GCCACGGCCACCATCGTTACCGCTGATGGAGCAGAAAGGGGAGATAATGGGGGAAGAGTGGTGGGCACGGGCCGTGTCCTTCCTTGTCTTCATCGTTGCAGCCCCAAACACGGTGCACAGCGCACACGCACACGCACGGCCATCATCACAGCAGCACCAGTGGCAGCAGCAAGCATGCCTGCCTGAGTGTATGCCTGTGAGGCAAGGAGAAACCAACCAGAGACGAACAACAATGACCGGTGGTGGTGAGGACATGAAAGGAGGGACACAAAGGGACCACGCATGGGAATATGCAGCATCTTGTGGGCGGGGTGCACCAGATACACACAAGACCAACGAAGCAAGCATCCAACAAGCAAGCAAGCAAGCAGGCACACGATATCACCACCACATCCACCACTGCTGCAATACCTGTGTTGGCCGCTGTCTCGATCACGCCTCATCAGCTCCACATCGCACGGGAAAGGCCGATGATGATGATGACACAGAGCAAAGGCGATTGGTTGGGAAAAGAAGAAGGGGATTCGGTTGGGGAAACCCGCACACATGCGCCTGCAGCCACGCACACACACGCACATTTGAGTTGTGAGATTGATTCATGTGAGACACACGTCAGTGCAACCACCCACAGCCAATGACTGCTTTGATTTGTTGGCATACATGTGTACGTGTACATGCGTGTGCGTGCGTGCGTGCGTGTGCGTGCATGTACCACCCCATCACATACACACACACACACACACACACAGCGCCAACGTCTCACCTCGTGCCTTCTTTTCTCACACATTTGTGTGTGCGTGCGTGTCATGAGGGCTTGGGAAGACACCGGTCACCGCCCTGTGCAAATCACACACATGCACACATGCGCAAACACAAACAACAAAATCAGCAAGAAGAACACCACGCAGTGAGCCAGCATGGCAGAAACAACCCACATCAACCCCCTTGTGCCTCATTCCACATCACCCACATCATCACTTGTGCACGCACATTTCACATTCCCACACAGACACCACACCACACCACCACTACCACAAGCAGCACAAGCAGCACATCTGCACATGCGTGTGCGTGCGCTGTCTACATCCACCACAAATCACTCACCACCACCAGCAGCGTCGTCATGTGAGACAACGGCACATCGACGCACATCACATCCTGTGTGCGTGTGAAGAAAGAGGTGAGTTGTCACAGAATCAGGATATCAACGACAACAAAACCCATTGCCAGCACCAACAGACCCAACGACATCCAACCTACACCTCACAATCACGCACATACATGCTGATGTTCACACGCAACACATCACACACCACCCACATCACCACAACCACCACCATTCATCTCACCTCCACATCCATAGCCGCAGCCGCTGCTGTTGGGGACCAACGACGACGAGGACGAGGAGGAGGAGATGGCCGAGAGACGGAAGGCCAGTTCATCCAAATGCAGCCACACATCAGCTGTTGTTGCTGCTGCTGGTGGTGATGGAAACGGTGAAAACAAACGGCCCCTTGCCACGCCGTGTCCATTTGCTCGCTCGCTCGGCTGCCTGGCTGGTCGGTCGGATGGAGACGGAGACACGCCCTGTGCCCGACTCAATCGAAAAAGGGGGAAGAAGAAGAAAAGACACGTGAGTGGACAGAACAGACAAGGAAAGAGGGAGGCGAGGAAGGAAACATCACATGTCAACCAACACACACACACACATCTCAGTCGGCCTCTCACCTCCATCACTCGTCATCATCGTCATCGTCGCTGGTTCCACCGCTTCATGCGCCTCCTCAACGCTGTGAAACGTGTGCGTGCACAGACACAAGATGGGAAGAATGCAGGTAATGAGGTTGACAGCGAAGCATCATCAGCCACACGCCAGCCCCATCCAACCATCCGCATTGACACACATCCACACGCACACATGTTGTCCCTACTCACCCACCATGCACGCATACACCCATGCTCACCTCTTCATGAGAGCGAGTGACATGTGCAATGTGTTCCTCACGCCAGATTGGAGCTGGTGTCGGCCGGAGTGTGATGGCGGCTGTGCAGTCGATGGCGATGATGGTGATGATGGTGACGGCCGAGCTGAGTTCAAAGAGAGAGAAAGGGGAGAGAAATGGGGAGGGTTGATGATGATGATGATGTGTCGTTCATGGCAGCTTCCTTCCCCTCCTCTGGTGTGGCCTTGGTGCCCAAGCAACCAGCACACAACGACAAGACACAACGATATCATCACACACAAGGCACAGGTATGGCATATGAGCACAGCAGGCGTGTTCACCTTCCTGACCCTCCTCTGCTTGCCTCCTCCGCACTCCATGACACACACACACACACACACACACACACACACACTCACTCACACACACACACACACACACCTGCACATAGCTGCGTCGCTGTGGTTGGATGTGCCCACCATGCCCATGGACGTGTGTGTCCACAGCTGCTCCTCCCAATCCATCATGTGTGTACCCGCCCATCATCCTCCAACGATCCTCAGGCAGTCGCTCCCTGCATACATGCACACACGCACGCATGACTTGTGAGCTGCACAGCTACACTGGTGCACAAGACACAGCAGCAGCAACAACAAGCACACCCAGAGCAGCAGCAACAACAACACATGCACCATGTGCCAACCAAAGCATGCATGGTGGGCTCACCTTGCTCACGCATGTGGGAACACTGCATGAGCACAGCAGCGACAGCCGAAATCGGGGTGGATGCTGCAGCAGCAGCCGGCATGGGAGCCCCCTTCCATGTGATGTGTGCTGGTACCTCACCACCTGTGTTTATGTGCATGTGTGCGTGTGTGTGAGTGGTTGCAAGGAACGTGGATGGGAACAGAACACAAACAAGCACAGAGCAAGCCATCATGTCAGCACAGCAGAACGAGTCAGTGACATCGCACGCACCACGTGTGTGTGTGTGCGTGTATGTGTGTGTGTGTGTGTCAATGTGTGTGACCATCCCCCCATCAACCCTTCTTCCACTTGTTCGCTTCACCGCACCCCATCACCGCCACAGCCCAATCACACAACCAACCAACCACCCATCACCACCCACATACCATGTGTGAGGCGAGTGCAGCTGGCACGCGTGGCAAGTATCCTTGACATTTCCCTCATCCTGTGTGTGCGTGCGCATCACCTGTAACTGTGGTTGTGTGCGAGCACCAGCATGGTGAGCGAGTGGGAGGGGAGAACAGGGAGCATTGATATGTGCGCAGTCACACTGCTGCTGCCACCGCTGCTGTTGTGCATGCATTTGTGTGAAGAAGAAAGGGAAGAGAGAGAAAACAGAAAACAGAAGGGAAGGAACAAGACATGCTGCACCCCATCCATCCATCCATCCATCTTCCTCACAACACCACCACTGTCCTCTGTCACCAGCCAGCCAGCCACACCACACTCACCCAGCATCCCCCACCCCACCCCATCTCATCTCATCCATCCATCCAGCCAACACACATCTCCTCTCCCTTTCCCTCTTCTTCTCGCTCACCTCTGCTGCTGCTTCCAGCCGAAAGTGCACCTGGTGCTGTCGCCACCTGTTCCCAGCAGCAACAGCCAGCCAGCTCCCGCCAGCAGCAGCAGCGGGCGATAGGTTTGTTGGTTGGGGAATGTGTTCAGCTGCAAGTGGTGGTGGTGGTGGTGCATTCTCTGCTGCTGCTGCATCGGCGGTGGAGGGTGTGTTGGCTGCTGCTGCTGCTGTTGTTGTTGTTGTTGTGATGGCCGCCAGGGAGGGCGAGAAAGAGAGGGGAAGATAAGCAGCAGCTGCAAGGTGGAGAATGTGCAGGTGTACAGGCAGTTGTGTGTGAGAACGAAGAATGAGACAGCGCATCAAGCAAGGCAAAACAGGCAGCCGCACCACACACATGCATGCACATTGATGTGGGACAACAAGGGGAGACAGGAGCAGCAAAGACAGCGACCACAAAACACGCACACTGGTGCTGTGCTCATCACACACACACGCACATGCAGTGACGCACTCACGTTGCTCATGGCTTGCTTGTTTGTGGTGTGTGTTGGTGTTGCTGCTTCCACAACCGCATAAGTGTGGCTGGATGGTCATCACATGGCAGCGCCCGTCTGTTCATCCCACCAGAGCAGTGGTGGTTGGTGCAGGGGGAGGGTTTACAGCTGCTGGCTCAAGGGCCCTATGTGCGGCGACAGCAGAAGGAAGGAGAAACAAGGGAGGAGGGTGGTGTTGGTGGTGGTGTCGAGGGTGGGAAGGGAAGGATCTGAGCAAACACACACGAAAATGAGAGGTGGTGGTGATGGCGTGTGGGTTGGTGGAGAAGAGAACCCGCACGTCGACACACACACACACACACACACACACACACACACACACACACACAGACACACACACACTCACACACCTACCTGCCAGGCGTTGTCGCCGCTGAACGGGTTGATCCTGGCAGACTCCAGCGCTGATAGTAGCAAATAGCACAGTCATGACACACGATTTGGCAGATGGGGAGAGTGGTTGAATGGACACGAGAACAAGTGAGCAACGCACACACCACCACAAACGTCGCCAAACTCATTCCACAGCCCCCTGTGCCAATGACTCACTCCCTCACCTGTGTGCACTTGGGTGGAGAGAGACTTGAAGAACTCCTCAAACACAAACACAACGCGTCTCTGCATCATCTCCACCACCTCATCAGATCGACCGCAGGATCCTCGGAAGCTGAACACAGTTGTGTGTGTGTGTGTGTGTGTGTGTGTGTGTGTGTGTGTGTGTGTGTGTGTGTGTGTGTGTGTGTGTGTGTGTGTGTAAGCGACGTGGCATACAAGCTATGACCAAACACAATCCCCATCAAAACGCATCCCTCCTCACGCATCGCTTGACATCCCCATGTCACCGATCTGTTACCACACCTCGAGGAGTCTGTGCTCGGGAATGCGAATGCTAAACGTCTCCCAGTCCAGAAGGTCCTGGTAGGGCTGCAAGAATGCAAAAAGCAAACGCCAGCACATCACATCGCAGCACCATGAGCGACGGGAGGGGTACATCTCCACACACACACACACACACACACACACACACACACACACACACACACACACACACACACACACACCATGTGCCATTCATCCAGCACGTAGTGATCGACGACAATGACGGGGATGGCACCCGCAGCCATGATCAACGAGGCATGAAAGGGGGTTACAGGAGATGGAAGATGGGTGAGACCACAAACAGGCCCGAAATCGTTTGCAACATACAGACACACAGACACAGACACACACAGACACACACACACACACACACCAGGAGTGGTCGCCAAATCCTTCCACGATGAGCCCAACCTTGGTCTTCAGCGCCAGATCCGTGTACGTGTACTTGTTGAACTCTTCCTCTGCCTGCTTACATGAGGGGTCATATCCAACCTTCCCCCTCACGGCTCATGCGCTCTTCGCCAAACCACCGGCACGCGCACACCAACACAATGTCCCTGCAAACGTGCATACACAAGCAAACGTACAAAGAGACGATGTGTGTGCGTGTGTGAGGTGGATCCAGACAGATACGCACACAGCACCAAAACCAGCTGACTCCACCACAACACACAACACACACGGAACACAAGAACACACAACACTCGCACGCATAGCACACCATACCTGCCATTGTGCAGCCTGGGGAGGTGGTTGCACATGGCATCAAGAACGAGCAGACTTGGTGGTACCCCTGCACAACAGGGAAAGAAGACACATGTCAAGCAGCGGCACCACAACATGTTTGGAGTGAGATCGCAGCGGTTACAAGAAGGGCGAGTGGTGGTGCAGTGAGCGACACCGACCCCTCAAAACTCCCAGCAGCAGCAGTAAACATCGAACCTCACATCGCACCACGTCACACCACACACGGATGCATGCACACACCTGAAGGTGACGAGGTATTTCCTGTTTGTGCGGGCGGAACGCGTCGCTGCTTCGGTGTGAATGAATGCATGTCACCATGGAGAAGAGTGGCATGGACACACCGAGGCCGTCACGGTGGTGGAATTCGCTCAGGCCAACCTGATGCAGGTGGTGAAGAGAAACAAGGCGGCATTGGTGAAGTGTAAGCAACAGCAGTCGTCGATGGTGAGCGCAGGCACGCACAGTCATGTTCCAACACACACACACACACACATTGTACCTTTTGCAAGAATGCCGTGTTCTGCATGCCAGGGAGACATGGTGCATCGCTGTACTCAAACAGGATATGGTAGCGGGCCTCGTTCCAATACGCAAGTCTGCCATGCATCACGTGTATTGTTGTGTGTGTTTGGAAGGCATCCATGAGCGCAGGTCCTCTCACACGCAAGATACCACAATCCACACGGACCACCAGCACCACAAGCACCACAAGCAACAACAAACCACCACCTCAGCTGGAGAGATTGCGCTCGATGGCTGCGCTCACGGGATGAATCGACTCAATGTTGTCAGAGTACTTGTCGTGCATGCAATCTTTCAGTCACAAGCACGCACACACAATTATGAGGTGGTGGTGGTGATGGTGACGGCTGTGGAAGCCCGTGCATCTGCACCGACGCGACACACACACACACACAACACAAACACAAACACACAGCGCACCTTCACACCAGCACGACACGTCGGTGCCTGGGACGAGGAGGCAAGCCCTGGACGGGTCATCGGTGCTGTACGGGCCGTCACGGATGGCGGTTCGGATGGCGCGGTAGATGGCTGGCAGGGACGGCCTCTTCATCAGCAGTCAGAGGATACACGTACACCTGCCATAGATGCACGCACGCATGAACACGCAATCATAACACACAAGCAGGCAGAGAGTGTGAGGTCATCATGCTTCGGTTGCACGCCATTCCACGCCGTTGCTGTTGCTGTTGCTGTGTTGGCAGGTCTTCACCTTGAACGATGGGCACGTGCGAAGAGGATCGACGGATATGCCGTGCGGTGATCGCTGACATCAGGGCCGTCATTGGCAGTGCGATAGTGCAGCGGCATCTCGGGGCAGTGCGTTCTGGTAACAGTGGTGGTTGTGGTGGAGACGATGGGTGCGTTTGTTGTGTGGTGAGACGCGCGGATGAAAGGGGATGGGGGGAGTGTTGGGAGATATCTGCAACGAACTGCTGCACACACACGCACACACACACACATACGGGTACACACACACACACACACACACACACACACACACACTGCACTGTGTCAAAGAGTTCATTCTCTTCGGCAGACATGAAGCTGTGAAGACGAAGCCGCGAAGAGAGCCGCACAGAAGGATTGCAAGACGATAGCGAGTGATGAGTGGTTCAGTGTGTGCAGGTACACACCTCCACCAGCAGCAGCAGCAGCAGCAGCAGCGGCGGCGGCGGCAATGCACCCGTAACAAAAACACAATTCGGTGGTCGCACCTCATGTCACCATCATCCTTGTGCCGGAGCAGCGTCTCCCTTCCTCTCTTCAGCTTCCAGGTGTACCCTGTGGCCCAAACACGCACGAGGAACAGAGATCAGGACAACACATCGTAGCACAAGATCAAACGATTGCAAGCAAAGAACCCACAGCAGACGCATGGCAGAATGACCACGTCGACGTCACATATGCACACACGCCTACACATACAGTGTGCGCATACTTTTGAAAGCATTCGCTCTGTCCCGCCATGAGCAGCACCTTGCCAATGTTACCAACACTCTGCTCCATCGACGCAATCAAGGGCATCCAGTGGATGGCAACCTGGTCGCTAACGGTGGCGAGATGGGTGTTGCAGTGAGCGAGGGAACGTGTGCAGGAGTGATGAGCCGTCATCACACGGTTGCCGAATGAGAAACACACACACACACACACACATCGCTCACTGTCATGCTGAGACGTGGGCATGCCATCATCATCCCCAACACTCATGTCCAGCCAGATGATGCCACGCAAGCGGGCTGCTGTGGGGTGTGTGCGTGAAAACCACGTGTGCATGGGGCAGGTGATGAGCACCTACAGCGTGTATGCCATGTAAACTGACTTGATTGCAGGCTGGAGGATGAATGATGTGTAACTGACTTGATTGCAAGCTGGGGGATGAATGATGTATGACTGTGATCACGACCCTTGTGGAGGTGCGTCCCACTCAAACGCGGCCTTCTGTATTGCTGGTGCCTTGGTATCCGCCACTCTCACTTGCCGATTCCTGTCTGTTTGTTGTTTGCGTGGGAGGAAGAGAGGATGCAACCGTGAGAACACACGTGCCAACAGCAGCAGCACCAGCAGCAGCAAGACAGCAGCAGTGACAGCAGTGGCTGTGGTTTGGATATCGGATCACCACCGTGCACTGATACACACACACGCACAACACACACGAGCGGAGGTGTGATTGCACCCACCTCGCAGGTGGCCGTGAATGACACTGCTAGTCGCTTGCCTTGTGGTATGCGTATGTCAGCGGCACATGTTGCCAGTGCACTCTCAGGGGCATTGTTTCTGCAGGCCACTGCCTTGTCCAATCACAAGAGAACAGCACTTCTTCACGTCAGCCAAGCACAACAACGACGACCTGACGACGACGAAACCACCACTTTCAGCAGACCCACAGCCCCCTGCACACATCCTTGTGCCACAAGAAGAAGGAAAGAAGGGAGTTCACAAACACACCCACAACAAGACAGCAACAGCAACAACCGACAGCACTGCCACCACAAACAGGACACCGCGTCCCACGTTCACATACTTGGTTGCGTGACGCATGGAGCGAACGAATAGTGCCCAAGAAAAAGAAGAAGCAGAAGCAGAAGTCGAGGAAGGAACAGTGGGCATGATGTGTGTTGGCTCACCTGGGGATAGTTGACGTGACGCCTACTTTGTGTGCATGTGTGTGTGTGTGTGTGTGTGTGTGTGTGTGTGTGTGTGTGTGTGTGTGCATGTGTGTGCATGTGTGTGTGTGTGTGTGTGTGTGTGTGTGTGTGTGTGTGTGTGTGTGTGTGTGTGTGTGTCAACGACCTTTCTTCCACATTGGTCTGGTTGGCTGTTGGTGACTGGGTAGCGATCGCCAACAATCTCCTCTTCCCCTCTCCCACATCTCTCTTCTCCCCATGCTGCTGTTGCGGTGACTGCCACATCACCCCCTCCTTCCTTCCTTGTCTTGCCTTGCCTAGCTGTGTGCACTGCAGCAAAGAGAGCAAGAAGAAGAAGAAGAAGAAGCGAGTGCAAGCAAGTTTGAGCTGCTGCATCTCCACAGTCGTGTCATCGACTGATTTCAGGTTTCCCCGTCTTCTTCTGCACAAACACGCACAACAGTCGTTTGTCGTGGCTGGTTGCGCGCAATGCACGAACACACACACACACACACACACACACACACACACACACACACACACACACACACACACACACACACACACACACACACACACACACACACACACACGCTGCATTTGCTGCGACGAAAGGAAAGGATGGATGGGGAGGTGATGGTGTGTGGTGGTTTGGTCACATGCTCAGCCACAACAACAACCACAACAACAACAACAACAACCACAACAACAACACCAGCAGGGAGCAGCGGGATATTGATGATGATGACAATGACACAAGCAATCCATCAATCAATCAATCAAGCAGACGAGCAAGCACACAAGCAAGAAGCAAGCAAGCCAAACAAAGGGACAAGTATTCATTCACTCCACTTGGACGAGCGACACGTCCACCACATGGTGCGTGCGTGTGTGTTGTACTCACAGCTCTGCTTCCTTTACACTGTTCCTCCCTGCCTCGCAGTCCACTCTCCCTTTCTTTCCCTTGCACACCCCTTGCTTGACCTGCTCTCTGCACACCATCTCTTCTCCCCCCCCCCTCACTCACACGGCTCAAGTCACATGCCTCTCACCTCCCCCTTTGCTTTTGGCTGCAACGCTGCGCGTCTTCATCTCCACCACCACCACCTGTTTGGCAGGCTTACAGCAGCAGGTATGAAATGCTGACAATGAGGATGATGATGGTGGCTTGAACGACAGCACCGTGTGCCACGACAACAAGAGGCACTTCCTTCTCTCTCGCTCTGTCTCGGTATGTGTGTGGCTGATGGCGTGGGGGGGGGGTGTTGCCTGGGATTTCCATTCCACTGCACTGCACCTCAATGTGCTGTGTGACGCGACATGCACACCACTGCACGCCTTCTTCCCCCACTTATCCCCTCAGCACGTCTTTGTTCTTGTCAACCACCTCCCCTCGTCAATCACATCCCACACCTCCCCCCCCCCAACACACACACTCTCTCCTTAACCCCTGTCACGATGTGTGCTTGCTTCAGAGCAGGCCTCTGACATTGTCATCACCGCTGCCATACGGCGGTCGGTGCCATGCACGGGCATGGAGACAGTGAGCCAGCTCGTGGTCTCCAGCGTGGTGGCTGGAATGTGTGTTGAGGTGAAGGATCCCGCCACCACACTTCCGCTTCCATGCCGCCATGGCTGACACCACTAGCGCTGCTGGTTGACACGCACCAGCAGGCATCGCTCCCAGCGCCGCACAAGAGGTGTGTGTGTGTGTGTGTGTGTGTGCGTGTGCGTGTGTGTGTGTGTGTGTGTGTGTGTGTGTGTGTGTGTGTGTGTGTGTGTGTGTGTGTGTGTGTGTGATTGAATTCATTTGCACTCGTTGCCCCTCCCGCATGTCGAAGCAACCACGCACACCGACCACGCCTCGTCAACATAACACCATTCAAACTCCCCCACTGTGCTGATGCAGGGCTACACTGGCACGTCGTGCACGACAGCTTCTAATCGTCAGTTCTCCCTTCTCTCCTTTTTTGTCTTCACACAGGTCACATCACCCCCGCCCAGTGGGGCGCCTGCATCTTGCTTCCCCACCCTCCCGTTGCACGCGTGCACACACCGATTCCGACCCAACGCAGGCTCTGCTGCTGCAGCCAACCACCCACACACACCGTCACTGCAACGCCGCATCAACCAACCGCAGCCACCGACAGCGACGGGCATTGCACCTTTGCTGTGATTGAGTGCTGCCAGCACGTGGCCCCACATCATCATCGCCATCCCCGACACTGCCATGTGTGTGTGCATGCATGCGTATTCACGCCATCGTCAACCACACCACGCCAACACAGCAACAGCTGCACTGCTTGCTGTCCTGCGCGGCGTTGTGGCGGTGCACTCAAGGCCCTTTGTCAACCAGTTTCCCGCTGCTAGCTGTGCTTCTCCCTGCCCATCTCAATCACCTCAGCTTCAACCACAACTGCTGCTGTTTTCCGCCACCTCATCTGCTGCCAGCGAGGCATCCCACCGCGGCCACAGCCGTCGCTGCACGCTGCCGGTTTCAAGCAGCTCACTGCGGTGGATGCTGTTTGCTCGTGGACCACCACACCGTTGTTTGAAGAGAGAATGGCCGTGATTGTGGCGGTTGTTGTGGTGGTGCTGCACGCCATGACAACAACAGCGGCAGTTGATGAGGTGATGGTGTGTTTGCACTCCTCACTGGTTGCAGCGGCAGCAAGGGGGTGGCCACCGTGTTTCTGGTTGGCACGCATGTGCTGGCCAACGTGGCGCAGGAGCGGTTTTTGGACTACGACAACGATTCTGTGCCGTTTATGAAGAACATTCTCCAACACGCAAACGACAGGCAATACCGCATGCTGCGCGGCCTGTGGGCGTGTTTGTTTGCAAGAACATGTTTGCGCCGGATGCACACGAGCTCATGTGCATTATGCAAGCCAGCGCCGCCCAGATTGAGGAGGAGGATCCACAACCCACATACATCCACACAAGGTGCGCTCAAGGCCAAGAGAGAGAGAGAGAGAGAGAGAGAGAGAGAGAGAGAGAGAGAGAGAGAGTGTGTGTGTGTGTGTGTGTGTGTGTGTGTGTGTGAACATGTCGCTTCGTCGTTTCCCTCCTTTCTCCACTTTCGCCTTGCCAAGCCTCACCGCTGCCCCTTGTCGTCCTGCCAAGCCTCACCGCTGCCCCTTGTCGTCCTGCCGCGTTCAGGCTGTTGAGTCGCTGCTCGCTGTGATCCAGGGTGCCCGGCTCCCGCGAATCGCCCAACACCAGCGCGACCGAGAACTGCATCTCCGTCTTTGTCAAGATTGCACGCAACCCAGCACACGGCCTCTCAAAGGTGTGTGTGTGTGTGTGTGTGTGTGTGTGTGTGTGTGTGTGTGTGTGTGTGTGTGTGTGTGTGTGTGCGCGCGTTGCTACACTCCTTCTTCGCCGTCCTTTTTGCTTTGGTTGTTTGCTCTTGTTGTCACGTTTTCGTCGCTTATTCTTGACCTCCTCATCCACCCATCTACTACCAACCCTTGCACAGACGAGATGCTGACGCATCTGCTTGACTGGCTGCCCATTACAGAAGACGACGATGAAGCAAAGTGCATCTACACATACCTCGTCGAGCTCTTTTAAGCGTGAGTGCTACCACTGTGTTTTGTGTGTGAGTGTGTGTGTGTGTCTATGTGTGTGTGCATGGCCTGGTCGTGCTGCATGTGTCGGTGGTGTGCTCTGTCGCCTGTCGTTCTTGTTCCCGACTGACTCTCCCGTCCCCCTCCTCATTGCTTCCTGTACCTCCCTCTCCTTCCTTTTGTTGTTGCTTCTGTAGGCAAGATCCACGCGTGACCGCGCCTGAGAGCCCGGTGAAGATTGTGCGGGCGTTTGTTTGTGCAGATGATTGGCACCCCGGCGGCCGCCGTCGACGAGCCCCACTGCCAGGGCATGTACACAGCCTCATGGTGCGTGGGTTGTGTTGTGTGTGATTTATGTGATGTGTGTGTGTGTGTGTGTTTGCTGCCTCGAATATGCGCGACTGTCGTGTACTTCGTGTACTTTCCCATCCTCCTCCTCCTCCTCCTCCTCCTCCTCCTCCTTCCTCTCCTCATTCTCACGCCCTCATGTCGTTTCCTCTCGTAGAACATGCAGGATTCGCCTGCCCACGGGGTGGTGGGGCAGTTGATGCAGGATCCTGAGGTGCACGCCCGCGTGCAGCGCGCTGTTAAGGCGCTTGGCTCGTCCGCATAGTCGCCATGTTGTGATGTGTCGTGTCAACTTGTGCACCAGTTGAACGAATGGCTGAATGTCTGTTGATTCCTTTGTCGCATTCCTCTTGTTTCCGTTTCTTCTCTTCTCTTCTCTTCTCTTCTCTTCTCTTCTCTTCTCTTCTCTTCTCTTCTTCCCTTCCTTCACTCTCCCTCTCGCCTGCTTGCTTGCTTGCTTATGTCACGCCCTTCCTGTGCTTGCCTGTTGTTTTCATTGTATGGCGCTGTGTACGGCTGAACACGTTTTGGTGTGTTTGGTGGATGTGTGCTGCTGCTGCTGCTGTGCGTATTTGATTCTGGCTTGCGACTGGAGGGTGTTGTTTGATGTGCAGAGGGGTTGGCTGTTGTTTGGTTGGCTTGGCTTCCTGTTGCGTGTGGGCACTGTGTGTGTGTGTGTGTGTGTGTGTGTGTGTGTGTGTGTGTGTGTGTGTGTGTGGATGTGTGTTGGACTGGGGAGCGTTGTTTTGGATTGTGTGGCGGACCTGTTCTTTCCTCAGTAAATGGCTCGATGAAGATGATGAGACCCGCTTGACGGTGGTGATGGTGGAGCGGCGGTGATGTTTGTGGTGTTGATGTGGCTACAGACATTGGTGTATTGTACCGACCAGGCAAGACCAAAAGAAGCTGGGAGGGAGCGGCTGTTGTTCCTTTCGGCGCGACAAAGCGAGTTGCGTTGCTGCTGGTTGGCTGGAGGCACTTCATCCTGTTTGTTTGTTGTGTTCCGTCAGGAACGAGGGCTCGAAGAGATGGTCTTCCACCGAAGCGCTGCTGTGCGGATAACCTCTGCAAGGTTTTGCGAATCGTCCAATGGCTGAGTCGCAAAACAACAACACACACACAAAACAAATGAAAACAAACAAAGCAGCGCGTTGAGTTGTCGTCCATTTTGTCGTCGTCTTCTTCCAGCCAGCCGCTCACAAACACGTCACAACAAGCCACAAGGAGAAAAGACGACGCGCTGTCGCCATGTCCGGCGGAGAGAAGAGAGCGAGGGAGGAGGTGGAGGCGTTGCTGGCGCAGACGAAGCTGAAGGATGGGGTGAAGGACAAGATCAGGGCCATCGCCAACAACACGTGTGGGGATAGAATACAGTGAGTGCCTGAGTGGAAAAGCAACCAAAACGACGTGTTGGAACATGCATGCATGTGTTGGACACCAAGGCCACTTCTTGTGGTTGTGCTTGTGCTGATTCTCTCTCTCTCTCTCTCTCTCTCTCTCTCTCTCTCTCTCTCTCTCTCTCTCTCTCTCTCTCTCTCTCTCTCTCTCTCTCTCTCTCTCTGCTTGGCTTGTCCTTGTGTTGCAATGAGCTTGGTGTGGCTTGCTGTTGGGTGTTTACGTGTGCGCGTCCCCTCGCACCGCCTGGACACACTGTGTGTGTTTGTGGCAGGGTGTGACTGGCACCCTCACGTTTTTGCTCTCTTGATCCTCATTCTTCTTGCTCATTTCATGACACACACCATTTGGAATTGCAGCTTCTTCAATGCTGGCCTCGGCGCCATTGGGGCGCGTGCGGTGGCCGAGGCGCTCAAGGACAACACCTGCCTCAAAGCACTCAGGTGCGTGGTGATGATGAATCTGCATCGTGTGATATGCATGGTTGATTGGGATGGCGGTGTTGCATGTTGCACCCCTTTCCTCTCCTGCTGGCGCATGTTTGGACGTGTGTTCACCTTCGCTCCCTGCGTTTCTTGTGTGTCTGCACAGCCTGCGATGGAATTCCATCGGCGATGAGGGCGCGGCGTTGGCGGAGATGCTGAAGCACAACACGACCCTCGAAGAACTCAGGTGAGTGTGTACACGCACACATGCACATGTATGCTGCGTCACTGCCGTTCCACCTTATCATGCGCACATGTGTGGTTGATGGGGTGGGGTTCAACGACTGTGTTGCCACCCACAGCGAGCATCATCACGCACTCACTCACTCTTCCTCATCCATGTGGCATCATCGCCCTGTGTGGCATCATACCATCTTGACAGCCTGGGAGGCAACCGCATCGGTCCTGAGGGCGCTGTGGCGTTGGCGGAGATGCTGAAGCACAACACGACCCTCACAGCACTCGAGTGAGTGGAAGCTCCTCTTTGCAATGTGTGTCTTTAGGCGCTTCTTCCGCAATACCCGTGTGCAGATGGAGGCACCGCAAGCCACCCACGATGTCTGTGCGACTTGCTTGTTTGACCAACAAATGCTTCCATCCTTCATATGTGCCACAAGTGCTGCCACATCCTGTGCAATTTGCATTTGCCCCCTTTGCTTCCGCCATTGTGCCTTAAAAGTCGTAGGACCTGATGTGCGAGCGAGTACGCGTGCACGTGATCCATCTGCAACCCACTTTTATCCATGACACTGACACGTGTTGCTTGCCCACCCGTTCCCCTGCTCTTCCAACATGCATTTCTTGCCACTTGCAGCTTGTATAACAACTCCATCACCCCGGTTGGCGGTGCGGCCCTGGGTGCCGCACTGGACCAAAACCGCACGCTGTCTCGGCTTGAGTACGTCGATTGCGTTGCGCCTGCCTCATGAACGCCTGTGTCCTGTTGTGGATTTGTGTGACCAATCGCCACTCTTTTGAGTGCACGCCACACTGTGTGTGTTCCTCTCTGCTTGCTTGCATTTCTCCACAACCCTAACCACCAACCCTCCTGACGCACGCACCGCACTTGCTGCCTGTTCCCAACCACACGCTACCACCACGTGTCCTCGTTTAGGATCAACAAGAACTCCACCGCCACCGCCCGCGCCTTTGGTGCCGCGCTGCCCGTCGACCGAAAACTCGACACAGATTGGTCAGTCAACGCGTGCTTCCACTCTAGTCGCTTGCTTCCTGCCTTCTCTCGACCCTTCACCTCACGCACACTTGCTGCGTGATGCTTGCGTCCAATGTCGCGTGTTACCACAGGGCGTACGACGATGAGGGCAAGGCCGCCTTTAACGAAGCACGCGAGGAGAAGAAGCGGCAGCATGAGCAACTGTTTGCCGCCTGCAGGGATGGCGACGCTTCCGTTGTCACCTCCCTCATGGAGCAGGACAATGCAGACATCAACCAACAGGACAAGCGGGTATGTTCATCATGTGTGTGTTGTGCTTGTATGTGAACGGCGCTCGCTCATGGTTGCACCGGCCGTGTGTTCGTTTTCAACAGATCCTCACCACACGTGCCATGCCCCTTCCTGCCCCCCCCACCCAAACACAGGGCGACACGCCGCTGCACGTTGCCTGCAGGCACAACCAGCCCGCCGTCGTGGAGCTGCTCCTGAAGAAGGGCGCAGACACTGCCGTCAAGAACATCAGGGTACGCGCGCATGTGCCGTGGGTGCGACGCCTTTATTGCACAACCGCGCCTCTTTTCAACGTGCACTGCTTCTGTGCTCGCTCACTCTGTCCGCATCCAACATCCACAGGGTGGAACACCATTCATGGTGGCGCAGAAACGCAATTTCCACGCCATCACCAGTATCCCAGGGCTCGACCCAGACAGCAAACCCCAGCAACAACCACAGCAACAACAGCAACAACCAAAGCAAGAGCAGCAGCAGGCGGACATGACAGCTTCAGACACACCAGATACAGAGCATGTACGTGCACAGGAAACCCATTGTCGTTTGCACTGCTGTACCACTTCAGACTTTTTTTCACCTTGTAAAAAGGCAACTGCCGCATCCGCCTTA